CATTCGTGTGTTCAGAAGATACAGGCTAAAGTGCTCAGGGTCCGTAGGATGTAACGGAGGCAAATCGTTCTCAAAAGGCTCAGGCAATAAATTATTTGGGTGGTAGTTTCAGCTTTTCTGTGAGTACTTTATGATTGCTTAAACTCAGACTTTCTATAGGGGATTCCTTTATGCATAAAGGCACGCGTAAAGGGATACTTACTTGGATGAAAGTAAGTCTCTGGACCCCTGGGAGCCTGTGGACCCACATGGGTTCATCCTGTCCCCACTCAGCTGGGTGTTCCCAGGTCGCGCAAGTGTGACCTGTGATGGCACAAACGTGCCCCAGGCTGCCAGTGCAGCGGACGGTGGCCAACCCCCCTGCAGCGTCCTAAATGAAGGACAGTGAGGCCACAAATGACACCCCTGGGCTGCCAACCCAGGAGGAATGGAGAGGGTGACGGCCAGAGTGGGTCAGGAAAGGACTGCTCGGGGAGGCCAGGCAGGTGAGCGTCCAATGAGAGGCGCCCGGGCAATCTCAGGGTGGGGTAATGGCAGCGCTAAAAATAACCAGAGCGGCTGTTTATGCTCAGCGCTAAGTCCTCGGCTCCAGCATCTCATGTGACCAGGGCCGCCGTCCTGCAAAGGGAGTATAATTAGTGCCCCTGCGGGAGGAGGAAACCTGAGGCCCCGGAGGCCAAAGGACAAGGCACCTGGGACCTGCCAGGCGGATGGACCCTGGCCAGCATCTCCCCATGCGCAGAGGCGGCACCTTCTGCAGCACCCCTGGAACTGACCGAGGGGCCGTGCTGATTGCATCTCAGAGGAAAATTGAAATACAAGCAAGCAGCGAAGCTCGGGTCACTCTGGTTCCCTCTGCCATTCAGTTCATCCCAGCAATCCCAGGAAGGGAACACGTATTCTCTGGCTCTCGCAGATAAGGGCCCAGAGGCAGGAATACTGGGAACTGGCCCCGGGTCACCGTCTGCGATTGAGGGCTGGACACCCCTCCTTCTCATCCCCAGGTCACCGTCTGCGATTGAGGGCTGGACACCCCTCCTTCTCATCCCCAGGCTGCTCTCTGGGCCCGCCGTCCTGGACTCCTGCACCCTGTGTTAGGGGCTCCGTTCACGGACACAGGCTTCATCGTGGCTGAACTCTGTGTGATGTCCCGTGAGCACGTTTCAGCACGAGCAGTCCCCGGGGTGATCAGCGTTCCTGGGCTGATCCGCCGTGGCCACGGCCTCTGCACCGTGCTCCCCGCTCCTCCCCCACGTCCCTCCTGGGCTCTGAGCAACTGGGAATCATCACCTCCCCACCTGCAAACTCATGTCTCATCCTGAGACGGGGACAGCAACAGGAGGGAAGGGGGCAGGGCACAACTTCTGGAAGAATGACCCGACCTGAGGACAAAACATAAACTGACTACAATCAAGTGAGTCCAGGATTCTAGGCAACTTCAACTAGACTTCGACCCTCAAAGTGAGTGAAAGCTGTTCAGTAGTGCCTGACTCTTTCTGACCCCATGGACTATACAGTCCATGGGATTCTCCAGGCAAGAACACTGGAGTGGGAAGCCATTCCTTTCTCCAGGGGATCTTCCCAACCCAGGGATGGAACCCAGGTCTCCTGCATTGCAGGCAGATTCTTTACCAGCTGTGCCACAAGGAAGACCAAGAATACTGGCATGGGCAGCCTATCTCTTCTCCAGCAGGTCTTTCCAACCCAGGAATTGAATCAGGGTCTCCTGCATTGCAGGCAGATTCTTAACCAACTGCTCTCTCAGAGAATCCTTAATCAGCAAGCTAAATGACATACCCAGAAGGCCATGACGGTTCCAAGGCCCCTCAAGAGACCAAAAAGGGGGCGGTGGCCCAGTTCCTGGAAATCTCCATTCCTTCCCCAAAATAGTTGGGATAATCCTCCCACTCATTAGCCTATGTAATCACCCAGCCCATAAAAGCTATCTGCGCCAAGTTTGGAGGCCGCCCACCCGCCCTCTGCAATGGCCCACGTTCTGTCTGCCGAGGGTATTTCTCTCTAAATAAATCCACGTCTTACCTATCACTGTGTCTCTCACTGGATTCTTTCTGCGATGAGACATCAAGAACCTGAGCTCCATTAGGTCTTGAAACCAGGCCTGTGATCTCAGTTGGAAGACCAGGTCTGGGCTGGGTTCCTGGCACTTGGGTTCCAGGCCCAGTCGGAGGTAACCGGTTTGTGAACCTGGTGCAAGGCACACGCAGGAGGGGGGGCCCGGGGTGGGGCTCCACGTGGGACGCCCATGCTCTGGTTCCCCGGCGACAATGCTCAGGCTGAGCACAGAGCCCTGGGACCCCCCACGGCCATCACAAGCCCTGGGGCTCACCGGTCAGTCCCCTGGGAGGCTTCGGGGACAGAGGGGCCCCAGGGCCTCCCACCTGTGTGCTTCCATGGGGCCCCTCCTCCCTGGATTTAAAGTGCTGACCCAACGGTGATTTGCGGAGTTTTCCAGCCCTGATAGAAGGCTCCATTTCCCTCTAAGCTAGCGGCTTCCCTGCAACTTAGAACAAGACTCTAAGTTAACAGGAAATGGACTCTGTCTGTTCCTTCCCTGGCAGCTCAGATGGTAAAGAATCTGCTTGCAGTGCAGGAGACCCAGGTTTGATCCCTGGGTTGGACTCTGTCTACACAGCCCTGAGCCCCTGAGCAAAGTGGACATAAAGTCATCAGATTCATGAGATAGAAGAGGGGAAGCAGAAACCCCAAGGACCAGGGCCCCTGTGGAGGATCAAGAGCTCGAGAGTTTTCCCAGCTCAGCCATCTGAGGCTCTGAGAAGGGTCCCTACAGGCTCTCCAACTTGGGGTCACGTAGCCTTGGGTCTGCCCCTGTCGTCTCAACCTGGCCGTGAACGGCTCTGCAATAAATGTCACCAGGTCTCAAGTCAGCCTCTGTCTCTTCCTCCCTTCCTCTTGTAATGCAAGACCTTGACTTTCCAAGGAGAACACAGCCCTGTCACCAGCTCAGCACCAGGCTCACTCCCTGGCGATTCTTTTCTCACACCAGAGCATCTGCGGTCTTTGGCGCCGGGTTGCCTCACTCCCTAAATTCACGCGACTGTGTCTCCCAAGGCTCATCCCTCCCTCCACTGGAAGCTGAGACCCTCGCGGGAGGCCTGGCACGGAGGATGGCTTTCAGTTTTCCACTCACAAGGGTGCGCAGCAGCCAGGAAACGAGGGTGTCCGGACGCGGTGGGGGCCCAGCGCCAGCCTCAGCCTCCTAGCTCCTGCGGCCTCGGCCTGGCTTCCCGGGGGCCGCGGACGAGCGTTTCCGCCACCAGATCCATTTGGCTCTATTTAGGAACGAAGTACAGGAAGGTAGTCATTGTACAAGATTAGTTTCCTGTAGGCCATAAATTGGCAGTAGCAGAAAAATACAGGATGAATCTATTAGCCTGCAAGGTCAGCTCAAAGGAAGGCCGGGCCGGCAAGGGTGCTGTTTTCTTTCTTTGAACCCACCTCCCAAACTCAGCCAGGCTGAAAAAGACCCTTTAACTACTTAATTACTTCTTAATAGTTTTAAGCAAATTCAAAAGCCTGTGCCCGTGGTTGCTAAGTGCCCGGAGGTCAGAGCTGCCTGGAATATGTCAGGAATTCCTATTTGGACTGGAGTTTCTGAAACCTGATTAAAAGCTCCTACAATCCGGGGCCCTATGAGGGGGGGGAGTTGCTTCCGTTTTTTTGTTTTGTTTTGTTTTCTGGTGGGGTGGTGGGGGCGAAGTGGGGGCAGAGAAGGAAGGCTTAGTTGGTGTTGACTGGCGAGGTATTTATTTTGAATCTAGAATTTTGTATTTGGAGATCAAAAAGCAGCTTCTAACAGTTAAAAATAAAATCAGGTCAAAAATATAACTGTTTCCAACCAGAGATGTGATCTTGTGATAAATGTCCCTGAAGATGTTCCCTGGAGACAGTCACTTGTTTTTTAAGTGAAAGCTTCCTTGAAGACACAGGGCCACAGGTTGTCACCAAGGTGCGCTTCACTCCTTCTGGAGGCTGTGCTGCGTTCCATAGAGATCGTTGGCCACCGGGGCCTTCCTCAAGTTGGAAACGTAATCTTCCCCTTTCCCTTTTGATATTTTCCCCAACGGCTTAGAGCTGTCAGGTGAAGTTAGGCCCCACTGGTGTGAGAGGGAGTGTGTGAGCCGGTTTGCTAGAGCTTTTATATGAAAGGTTGTAATTCAAATTTTAATTATCCCGGAAATCTGCCTTGAGTTGTGGGCGAGCGCTCCTCCTCCTCCGCCACGCTGAGGCTCTACCCGCCCCCACCTCCGCTGAGCTGGAAGCCCCCTCCCCACCCCCAGCTCTCTGCTTTGCTAGGGGTGGGCACAGGGGGGTGACGGAGAAGGAAGAAGGGGGCGGTCCTCTCCACCCCTTCCTGGCAGAAAACAGCCCTGCAGACTTCCTGATTGCTTAGTGAGCCCCAGCACTTTGGGCTTTCCTGGTGGCGCAGATGGTAAAGAATCGGCCGCAGTGCAGGAGACCCGAGTTCCATCCCTGGGTCGGGAAGATCCCCTGGAGGAGGGCATGGCAACCCACTCCAGTGTTCTTGCCTGGAGAATTCCATGGACAGAGGAGCCTGGCGGGCTACAGTCCGCGGGGTCGCAGAGAGTCAGACATGACTGAGTGCACACACAAGCACAAACACACAGCACTTTATGCAGCAAAAAGTCCCCGTGACCAACCTGTCTTCATGCACAACGTACCCAGTTCGCATTGATGGAAGGCACCTTCTCTGTTCCCCGTGGCTTGCTGCCTGCTGTCCCCCGGGGTGGCCCCTGCTTGTGTCCCGGGCCTAGGGGGCTGTCACAGTCCTCCCTCGCCCTTGATGGCCTGCAGGTAGACACAGGGGTCTCAAGGTGCGTGCAGTTCAGAGGTTCAGACCGGGCCCTGGGTCACTCTTAAAGGTTCCAGGAGCACCAGGGCTCAGATGAATTGTGTCCACTTCTCCAAGCCGTGTTGCTTTTATGAAAACACTTGAGGAAATGTCTCCTATGATGGAGTCTTCCGCAGATGTTCTAAACCTGCTCCGTGGTGTCCACAGCCCCGGTGAAGGGCCACAGAGCAGCTGCGCCAAGCCCGGCTCCACGGCCACCGGCTCGGCCCTTCTGGGGGGCGGGCTGGCCTGCTCCCCCATCCCATGGCGTGTCAGAGGTTTGGGAGACAGCAGCTTGGCTGGACGCCTGACCCTCCATCCCTCCCCCGAGGAGACAAGGGTCTGGGGTGAGTGCAAGCTCCACTGTATGTGTCTGACGTCGGCTAGGGTCAAGCCAGACCCAACCTCTTGTGACCTTTCCTGAGCCAATGTCACAAAAGAAATCCAGAAATGGAGGGGGACATTCACATCCTAAACTCTGCCAGTGAGAGCCTTCCCGAAGCCACCTGGGGCCAGACCCTGGAAGGCAGGGCCCTCAGTGACTCAGCAGGCTGAGTCCCCCAAAGCGCACACCCCCTCCCACGTTGCTCTGAGGTAGGTTTTAGAGAATCTTGTAAACCTCGAGCCAATAAATATTTAGACCTCATGATAAATGTTAGTTGCTCCGTCGTGTCTAACTCTTTGCAACCCCAGGGACTGTAGCCCGCCAGGCTCCTCTGTCCATGGGACTCTCCAGGCAGGAACACTGGAGAGGGCTGCCGTGCCCTCCTCATGATAGCCACGGGCCCAAGTCTGCTCTCTGCTCAGTCCAGACACCTGCGGAAAGACCGTCCCGCCCTGGAGCTCCTGGATCTTTGTTCAGCCATCTTCAGAGACAAGTTCAGTTACTAATTCTATTCTTATAGAACCCAAAACCAAAGCGGCAGACTTCTGAGACTGGGGGCTATTCCTCTCAAAGCCAGAGAAGTCTTTGTGGCAAGCTTCACGAATGCTTCAGCAAACGCTCTCGGAACGTGTGCTTCAGGGTGGGCTGCGGTAGGTGAAGAGTGGAGAGCAGAGGCCACAGAAGGGTGGGGAGGACCCCCGGCCCCCTCGACAGCTCCCGGGGGCACCCCTGAGAACAGCGTAGCATTGCTGGGGTGCAGGGTTGAGGAGGGGGCGTTTGCTCCTCTGTAAATCCATGGAGGGTCCTTCCTCCAACAGGTGGGGACCCTGCAGGCCCAGCTGAGCAGACACAGGGGCTTTGGCTGGACTCTCACCCCTCTCCCAGCCCCACTGGGCCCTCCACCGTCTCTGCCCGACTGAGAGGCCGGTCGTGTCACAGGGAGAGCCTGCGACCCTACAAGGGTGATTCAGGGTGTGACACCACCAGCTACTGAGCCTCAGACCATCATTTGACTCTGAACCGGTGAAGCCAGGGCTGGAGGGGAGGAAACAGTCTTCAGGACCACTGTGTACTTTTACAGACTCTGCTCTGTGACTTGAAAGGTGATCAGGAACTAAAGACTGATTCTTTCTACCTACTCACCCCTCCCCACCCTGCCCCACCCCGACCACACACACGTGCACACCCGCACACACCCACACACACATGCATACCCACCCCCCCACACACATACACACCCGCACACACATGCACACCCGCACACACCCACACACACATAGCCCGGCTGGCTCCCCTTTCAGTGCAGAAAACGTGCTGCCCGTGTCCTGGAGCTGGAACATGCTCTCCTCACTGGCGAGTTCAGAAGACCCCCATTTCCCCACTGCAGAGAGCCCATCCCAGGGAAAACCTGAAGACATCACCGGCAGACCAGCAGCCGCCTGTGACAAGGGTGTGGCCAAAGCCACTTCTGAGTCTACAGAACAGACAGGACCCAGGCAGGACAAGAACTCAGCAAAGGAACACCACTCAAGAGATCACCGGATAAGCAACAGGGGCATTGTAGGAGGGGTGAGGGGACAATCCAGGCGTGACTGTGTCAGGATGAACACTCTTGAAAACACTGCATTATCATTTAAAGAATAATCTTCTTATGATAAAACCAGAGAAACAACATGTGGTTGATTGTACAGTGGAATGTTACCCTACCATCAAAAGAGTGAAGTACTGATACACACGGATAAACCTTGAAACATTATCTAAATGAAACAAGCCAGATGCCAAAGGCCACACGGCGTGTGATTCCATTTATTTGAAATATCCAGAAGGCCCAAGTTAACAGAGACAGAAAGCAGATGGGTGTTTGCCAGGAGCTGGGGGTGGTGGGGAATGGGAAGTGACCGCAGATGGATACGGGGCTTCCTTTAGGGCTGATGTAAATGTTCTCAAACGAGGCCGTGGTGACGGTTGCACAAGTCTGTGAATCTACCAAATGCTTTGTACGCTTTGAAAGGGTGACTATTATGATACCTGAATCATATCTCAAAAGAAATAAAATAAAATAAAGGAGGGGCAATGGCCGACGGAAGCAGAAACGATGGCTCTCATCCATCGTCACGCCTTCCAGCAAGGCCTTGACGCTGCCCCACTTCCCTGCAATCAGCTCGGGAGGCAAAGGTCGCTGGGGTTTGGACAAGGACCTAACATTACAATCAAACTTTCTAGGGGACCTGGTCTTACGCAGTTTCCTGGCTAAGGCCTATGTCCCTTTGAGTTTCAGTGTGAATGAACCTACAAAATGAAGAAGCAAAGAGAAGGATCCTCCAACTTGGCCAAGACCTTCATTGTTTGAGTAACTTTGCCCTGGAAACCACGCATGTTGATCTATTTCATAACAAATCCTCAACTCAATGAACTGTGCTTGCAGTTGACTCGCGTCAGGGGATCTGCACTCTGTTGTCTATAGGAGTGCGCGGCCTGCCCACTGGGGCTGCATTTGCAGGCAGGCTGATTTCTCAACCTAGGTATGCTGCCGGACTCCCTGTTGCGTTGTGCACATGCTCACGGCCTGGTGGCGACAGGGCCCCCAGCTCAGATCCCCAGTTTCCACATCAGTAAGTGTTGAGTAAGAAACTCTTATTTCTTAATTGCTTAGACACCAAGGACAGACGTGGAGGGGAAATGGCAGGGTCCCTTGAGGACACATTAGGAATGGCGTGCTGCCGTCCAAGGGACAGGACCAGAGATCAGGCATCACTTGCCTAGAAACAAGGACTGAAGCCTTAGCAATGGGGGCGACGGCACTGGGAAAGAGTGACTCGCGAGGTGAGGAGCATGTGAGGGCAACCCCCCCTCGGGGGCCACGGAGGAGAAGAGAGAGGAAGCAAGGGGCCCCAGGGGCCTGGGGCTGAGCGGCTTTCCGGGACAGGAGCGCCTGAGTGGGGGTGCAAGGACAGCGGGGCTGAGGGAAGTCTGAGACTGGCCGAGCTGGGGCCCCCCGACCCTCACGAGAGCAAGTCAGGCACTCAAGGCTTCGGGGGACAGAGCTGGGCAATTGCACCACGTCCCTGGTTCCCACACTCCGGTGCTTACCGGGGGCGGGTCCCAGGCTAGCGGGGTTGCCTGGGAGAAAAGCAGATCCACAGATGGTGTGTGTGGTGTGTAGTGTGTGTGTGTGCATATGAGCGTATGAGTGTATCTGAGCAAGTGTATGACGAATATGGTATGTGTGGTGCATGAGTGTGTGTGTACATCTGAGTGGGTATATAAAGTGTATGGTATGTGTGTGGGAGGGTGTGTGTGTGTGTCTATGAGTGTGTATGAGTGCATATGAGCAGGTGTATGACGCATATGGTACAAGTGGTGTGAGTGTGAGGATGTGTGAGTGTGTGTGAGTGCATCTGAGTGGGTGTATGATGTATGTGGTATGTGAATTGCATGTGTGTGTGTGTGTGTGTGTCTATGAGTGTGTATGAGTGCATATGAGCAGGTGTATGATGATGCATATGGTACAAGTGGTGTGAGTGTGAGGATGTGTGAGTGTGTGTGAGTGCATCTGAGTGGGTGTATGATGTGGTACGTGAATTGCATGTGTGTGTGTGTGTGTGTGTGTAAATGTGAGCATGTGTGAGATCTGGGTGGAGCAGGGGGAATCTTTTCATTTGACAAAAAAACAATCTTTGAGAAAATATACAACAAAAAGCTACCATAATTCAGTAATGTTTGAATAAGGTGTATGGTCTATTGGTTGTGATTATACACCAATACTTACAGTACTTTTGAATCCTATACAGACAATAGAAGTAAAATTACAGAAATCTGAATACGGTTGGGGGATTGTGTGGATGCCAACCTCAGCTGTGATAATTTACTATAGATTTGCAAAATGCCACCATTAAAGGAATTTTTGCAAAGGACATGTGGGTCTCTCTATATTATTACAATTGTACATGAATCTACAATATCTGAATTAAAAACTTCTATGAAAAACAGTGATCTTGGATCATGGTTTTACATATTTTTTAATTTAATTGTTTCGAGGATCAACTTTTTATACTTTTAACCACAGAGCTGCCATGGGATGCAATACACCACATACAAATGCTGCTTGCTAGGTCATCAGTCAGCCACCACGAAGACAAATAGCAGTTAGAAGGGCAAGTCAGAGAGAAAAATCAGTGAAATGAGAATAGCAAAGCAACATCCAGACAGAGGAGACAGCAGATGAGGAAGATGACAGCAAATGAGACTCCACCCAGACACATATGTTAGATAAATAGGAGACTCTCAAATCCTTGCTTGAAAATTAAGATGGATTCAAAGCCCTTTATTATAGGGTTTATAAATCTTCCATTTGTAATAAAAACTCCACTACGCTATTCAATTAATTTCTTTGTTATCTCTTGAAGAGTTATAAAGCAGAGCTAAAGAAAAAAACATAGCTGAATTATGCCCAAAACCCACACAAGCCATATTTATCAATTATGTTCCAGATAGAATTATTTCCTGTTATCCCTGAAGACTGTTACGTTAGACGCCTCCTGGGCTAAGCGCTCTCATTCCCTCTCTCTGAACTGTCAGAGTGCCTCAGTAAGGCTCGCCTGGTCTTCCTGTCTAGAATTATAGCCCTCCACCCTTCACCTGGCTCCACTTTTGTCTTCTTCCTACAGCATTTATCCCTCCCTAACATTTGTTGCGTCTACAGTGATCATCTGCCGTCTGTCTAGAAGAGCAGCTTTATGAAGGCAGGGATTTTCTGGGGGAGAGTTGGGATGGGCAGGAGAGACATCCATTGATATTCCTGCAACGCAGTCTGTACCCAGGAAATATTTGCTTACTGAATGAATGAATTTTAAGCATTCAATGGTCTCACTTTTATTTCAAAGGTTTTGGGTAGAGACTGAAAAGAAAAATAAAAGAAGCTTTGTGCGTGGCTTGTCCTTGCTGCGGGCACCGCTACGAAGGGCGTGACGTGAGCCTTTGAGCCAAGAGAGGAGCAGCAGGGTCAGCCTTCCGTCCCCGCGGGGGCAGCACTGCGCCCCCGCCGTGGGCAGGATTTAGTGATGAACACGGAAGGACCTTGAATTAGGACCAAAACGTGGCCACATCCTTGGGAGTTCACAGTCCAGGAGGGGCGCAACACACAACCATGAATGATGGCTAGGAAACCTACAGAGACAGAGGCACAAGCTACGTGAGTCCACATCAGAGAGCTCTGACATCTGGGGGCTTCCCGTGGGATGGCCTTGACACTGGGATGGGACCTGGGCGCACGGAGACGGGACATTCTCCAGGAGGACACCTGAACAGAGGCATGAAGCTGCCCCTGGGGGAGGGGCTTCCCTGGGAGGAGCTCTGTCTGAATCAGAGGAGGTGCAAAGAGAAGGTGGAAATGTCATCAGGGACATGGGTAAGAGAGTGTCCAGGGGCCAAGACTTACAGCAGTGAGGAGCTGGGAGGTCACACAGGAAACTGGGAAACACGGATTGGCCATGAAAGAGCCTACACGGTGGGGACGTGTGCCCCCGGGTCTGGAGCCAGGATGGGGAGAGAGGGACCCAGGGCCGCCGTCTCCAAGGAGAACGGTCATCAAGTGCGTCTCCGGCTCTCCTTGTCTGGTACCCACTGACCCCCCGGGGCCTCTGCCAGGGTCTGCGTCCTGGAGACCCTGAGTGCTCCTCAGAGTCCCACCGGAGGACGGGCCGGGGGAATGGGCCCTGGGGTGCGGGACCACGCCTTCTCCTCGTGTCTTCACCCCCGCCCTCTCCTCTGCTTGCCTGACCCCCACACGTTCTGCCTGGGAAGCTCAGAAAACCAACCAGTACCAAGGTGCTCTTTTTTCCTTCCAAAAATGTCAACTTCTTTTCCCCAGGGGAACTTTAGGGCTGAAACAGTGTCTTTCAGACAGCGCCTGACTCGGCCACTTCCCGGTTCCTACTAGAATACCTACAGAAACACAGACGAGGAGAAAACAACAGCACGCAGGGAGAAGCAGGACGGTGCGTCCCCCCACCGCCGGCATGCGGGAGCCGCACCAGCCGAGCAGCAGGATGATGGAAGCGGGATGAGACCCGGTCTGCGGCTCAGCCAGCCCAGAATCGGGGATCCAGAACCCAGCAGGCCCGACGGGGGAGGGGGTCCTCCTACCCCTGCCCCCTCCCCCCTCTCTGGCCTCCCTGAGCTCCTCATCACCTAGGAAAACCGGTCGTCGGTCCTTCTCCAGCTCAGCCCCCGGCTGGGAAGAGCCGACCCACTGGAAAAGAGCGTGATGCTGGGGAAGACTGAAGGCCAAGGAAGAGGGTGGCAGAGGATGAGCTGGTTGGGTGGCGTCACTGATTTGATGGAGATCAACTTAGGCAAACTCCAGGAGATAGCGAGGGACAGGAAGTCCATGGCGTCACAAAGAGTCGGACACGACTTAGCGACTGAACGACAACCACAGATTGATAACTGATACAGAATCAAATTGTCGGCAAAGTCAACCTGTTCTGAAACCCAGGGGAACACAGCTGATGTCTCTCCTCCCCCATGCCAACCTCCAGGCCAGCAGAACTGTGGTCTTCTCACCAACT